CGCTCTTCTCCTATGATGCTTGTCTACACCCCTGAATTCTTGACAATTGATGAACTGTGAGAACAGTCTAAAAAATGCAGGGGGATTACCTACAATAGACTACCTTCCCACTCAGGGCGAGTATTTGTGATTCTTGTAGTTGCTTCATGCTGTAAAAACTCTTATTAAGGACGGTGCCTACTTTTGTTAGTGCGCACACGTTCTACACATCATGCAAGGCGTGGTTTAAGCGCCATGCGCGCACTTGAGTTGACAATGACACAATCAACTACGCTACCGTGTAAGTACACGACTAAAATGAAAGCAAAATTTTCCTGCTGTGACCAAATCAAGTTTATTGACCCTCTACTTAAACCAGGAACACCAGAATAGCAGCATATCGATAACCACTAACTGTTAACGGCTTCCAGCTGAAAAACTATCTGTTATCTGTCGAAAATTAAACTGAAATCCAAATGTAAACATGTACCTGCGGATGACGTAGTACGCGAGCGAAGCAAGTGATATTTAATTGAATAACATTTAGCTTCTTCTTTTCATTGAACAGCTCTAACTTAATTTTTCATGTCCGTATATTTTTTTCGCTCATCTTTGCTTTCGTTAGATGTTAGAATAGTGTATTAGTAACAGTAGTAGTATTGTATCTGTTAGTTATATTATTTGCAAATAACACTCATGTGCGCTTCGAATTCGTCTTTAATTCCAACGATTCACTTAAAACCAAAATAACAAATACATAAATTAATAAATACGAACTTAAACTTAAATAAACTGAAAATACAACAATACGAAAAACAGCAAAAAATAGAAAGGAAAAACGAGATTACTTACAAGATCTGTACGGCACTCCGGATTTGACAACGACTGAATACAAATAAAAAAACTATAACGCTTTTAAACGGAATTTTGAACTAAAAGAATAAACTTAACGAGGTTACGTGATAAACAATAGACGATTACATAACACAACGTGAAAAAACTAATTTGCATTTAAAACTGCACAAAAAAGGTACGCAAAAAGTTAACCTTTAACGACAAAGACAAAACAAAAAAGAAAAGGCGACCAAAAACGGAAAAATTTAACTCTCGTGGCTACATTATTATTATTA